GTGGTGTTATATGAATGTGGTGAGAAACACCAAAAACTGCCCATGCCACTGCATTCTGGACCAGCTGCAGCTTCTGAATGCTCTTCAAGGACAGCCCCAAGTACCCACATTGCAGTCATCCAAATGGGAGGGGCCTAAGGCATAAGTCCTTATGAGCAAGGCCTCCTTGTCCAGAAATGGGCACAATTGGTGCATAAGACAAACCTTTGCAAAGGTTCCATAGCCACAGATGAAACCTGTTCTTTGAGCAGGAGCCATGACTCCAGGATGACCCCCAAACTGCACACTGACTCTGACTGAGGAATTGCGTCCCCAGGCAGTATTAAAGGTAGAACACTTCCAGACCCAAGGGGCCTTAAATCCACAGCTACTCAGTCTTGCCAGGATTGGCCCAGAGCCTGTTCTCCCCCATCCAATTGCTCACAGCCTCCAGGCACTGGAAAAGGACTTCAGCAGCATTGCCTTTTCTTTTCCTTTTTATTATATTGTTATACATCTTGATACATATATTGCTTCAATACAGTGATATTTATATGATATGATTAGAGATTATTAACATTCAATTATTTAGATAGTTTTAAGTATTGAAAATAGAGATTCCGCAGCATTGCTTGTTTGGCCCAAGGTGGAGTTGTATAACCAACTATCATCAGCATACTGATGATATTGCACCCCATGCTGACAGATGACCACGCCCTGTGGCTTCATGTGGATGTTAAACAAGAGTGGCAAAAGACCAGAGATCTGATGCACTCTGTAAAGTAGGAGCCTCGGGCTTGACCTCTTCTCCCCCTTCCCATGAATACTGACTGGAACCAGCCCCAAAGGACAAAAACCATCATAACACAATATCTCCCATTTCCAATCTTCTAAGTTGGGCCAGAAGGATACTATGAAGCCTCTGAGAGATCAAGGAAGGCCAGGCACTACCCAATCCCACCAGAGGTCATCCACAAGTGCAATCATTGCTGTCTCAGTACCAAAATCAGGCCTGAATTCTGACTGAAAAATGGACAGCATAGGCACCGTTGCTAAATGTCACCACACTCCAGTGTTTTTCCTGTTATCCTCTCATTTTTTAAGAGACCTAGTTTCCACTATTATACTAAAGCAAAAGTAGGCAACCTTTTTGTGTTGGATTACTTTTTTAATTTTAAGAGCAAAATTAAGGTAAGTGTAGGAAGAAAGTAACTGTAATCAGAGACTTGCCTGTTCAAAAAAGGGCAGCTAGGTTAGATATGGCCAGTCACAAAACACCTATTTTTCAGAAGGAGATGTACCCCCATGTCTGGAAGATCCCTAGGATCCCAGTGGAAATTATATGGGCCCATTAAGCATTGCAATAGCCTTTTAAAAGTGTCAGATAAGGTAGGGTACCTGGCAGACACAAAGAGTTGTGACTGGGAACAAATTAACTAGGAACAAATTAACCAGCATCAAACAGTTCAGAGCAGCACTAGTAGTTAATGCCTCCCTATAGGAGACACATGTTCCTTCTTGTTTAAAGGAGGTAGGTATAAGGATTATTAAATACATCTTTCCTTGATGAACTCAAGAACTCAAATTTAAACAGGTTTCAAGAGAAAGTAAGGGCCTCACAATACCAGATGCATTTGGAAGACTGACATAGCTCCAGACATTCGTTATCAAATTTTTGCCCAGCATGGGACTGAGATTACTTTGACCAGCTTTGTGGGGATTCTGTGCTGGATATCAGATGGGGGGAAGTTCACCTCTATTCATTCTCTTGAATCCCTTGACAGACAGACAGACAGACAGACAGATCAATATAAAATCCATGGAATATATTTGATAGGCTTGCGCCTTGATGACATTATTTTGCAGTCGTTCCTTTGTCTCATGTAGTATCTGATAAGTGGTGTTATAAGATTTTGTTAAGATATGCAGGCAGTTTAACACCTACATGAATCCACTAGGAGAAGTCATCAAGCTCTGGGGTAAGGTATTAGTTTATTTAATATATGACACCTAGTCCTGATATCAGACTTGTGTCCATTAATTCTTTTGTACAATTCATTTGTCCTATATAGAATCCAAAGGGGCATTGCTGGCAGATGATGGCACATGTTACATTGGAGGAAGAGCATGTGAAGGCACTTCTAATCTTGTCTTTGTAACTGTTAGGGCAAACCTCAAAGTAGACAAACAGGACTTAAAACAAGGACAAAATAATATCAGACCATTTCAATTTCCCAGGACACTGCATGACAGACTTCAAAGTGGCCGTGTTGGAAAAATGGGGTTTTAACAGCACCATCTAGTGAGAAATTGCTGAACTCACATACATCAAAAGGTTTCAGGCAATCTCAGGTCTCAATGAACACAATGGGTTTTTTTTATACATTACAGTTGTTAATAGATAAGATACATATAATCTGTCTCACATGTAATCTGTATCTGCATAACTAAACTATCTTTTCCTCCCCTTTTCCCCAACTTTTCCCCTCCCACCTCACCACAATTTAAATCCTATACCAGTCTAGCCACTCTATACATCTGATGAAGTAAACTGTAAGCTAGAGCTCATGAAAGCTTATGCCTTTTAAAAAATGTGTTAGCCAGAAAAGGTGCTGCTAGACTTTACATTTTTGGAGCATCTGATAATGTATGTTCATTTTTTTACTGAATACCTAGTAAGTACTGAAGGAATTTAAAAATTAAAAAACTAAAACAATATAAAAAGTTAAAAACATAATTTAAATGTAATATTAAAAACAATAAAGAATTAAAAGCCTGATAAAAGATAGTATTTTTTCTAAACACCAAGGGGGGAGGAAATTGTCATTCAATGTTTAATAGTACAGCTATTTTGATAAAACAGGTGCAATCAATACATAACTGTAACATATTCTTCTGTCTATTGTACTTGATTAAGTGTGATTTTAAGCTTTTTTGTTCTTCTTTTGGTCTTGACTATAAATCAAATATATTATATACAATATATATTCTAAAGAGTGGAAATGCAGCTCTTGAGTGAGTTTTTTCCATAGCTTGGAGAAAACCCTCTTGCATTGTGTGCCAGAAAGATGGGCCTGAACAACTTTGTAATAAGAGGCATCTTACATAATATGGTCTGTCTCTTAATATACAGGTAGTCCTCACTTACTGACTGCCTCATTCAGTGATCATTCAAAGTTATGACAGCACTGAAAAAGTAGTTTTTCATCACACAAACTTTTATCACACAGACTATTCATACTGCTACCAAGCTTCTAGAACCATCATGGCCACTTTCACTCTAATGGGTTTGTTTACCCCAAAATATGGGTAAATTGGCAAATTTGACAGTGAAATAAAAGCTAATGTTAGCACCAACCAGACTTTCAGAGGACGTTCCATAACTAGAGAGCCCTAGATAAAAAGATCCTCAAGTTTTTATATAATGTATCACTTCTGATGGTGAGAGGAAAGCCCTCTCAGTAGATTTAATACCTGACCCAGGGTTTAAATATGAAGGTCCAAGCTACTGACAGAGTTAAACTTCACCTTTAACATTTCCTTACAGCAATTTAATCACTATATTCTACACCAGCTGCAGCTTATGAAGCTTATCAAGGGCAGATGTACTACAGCAACAGAAAGTTACCAGATTATGAATTATAGTGGTTAGGCTATCACTGCTGAGGAATGGGCTTACCTATAGTGGCCAGACAAAGCTTACCAAATACACTCCAAGCCACATGAATTTCCAGTGACAAAAATATACTACATTTACTACTTGTCAGGCCCAGCCAAGTTCAATTATTCTATTGTTTACACCATATAGACAGAATCATACCAAACTAAATCTGCACTACTCTAACCTAGCGGATATTCCCTGGGAGATTCTAGGGAGTGGCTACCTTAAATCTCTTTCTCTTCCCATGCTCCTGCTTCAGACTGTGCTGCCTCTTGTATCCCCCACCACCACCACTGCCCTGGAATGTGCTCCCTCCTTCCTGAGAACCTGGTGCTCTATTGTATTCCATCACACTACTGCTGCTACTACTATTATTATTACTCTATTGTTATTATTTCATGCTACTTCTGAATGTAAATAATTCTGAAACTATTTAAAAGCTCATCAAAAATCAGAATTAAAATTAATAATGATGTTAGAAAGGATTAATGACTATGGAAGGTCAAACTAAAAAGGCAGGTTTTTTTAGGTCTATATATGTCAAAGTTCATGCCTGGTGTTCAACAAATGGGAAGTCATTTCCACCACTGCGCAGAAAGCTGTCTAATGTTTGTTTGTTTGTTTGTTCCTCAAATGTATATGGCTGCCCACCTCACGAAAGAGTGACTCTGGGCAGCGCACAATAAAACATGTACATGTTTCACCATCAAGCAGCAGTTTGTAAGCCACAATAGAGAGAGTAGCCAATGGAGATCATCTTGGCTAAGGCAACAAGACCAAATGAGAGGCAGCAAACCCCCCAGTTTCCCCCTCACGGTCTCTGGGTGCCCCAGTTCCCCCCTCTCTGGTGAGTGAGGCATGCAGGTGAGTCAAGGGCATTGGATCTGCCTGGAAAATGGACGAAGAGGTGGCAGCAGGAAGGGGGGTGCAGCTAGAAGGAGGCAAAAAGTGGGATAGAAGGAGTTGTAGTGACTAAGATCTGTGTCTGATTTACCCCCATTTTGCTTTTGAGCACAAACAGCATCAAGTCTCATGCTAATTGCTGTGTCCTTAAGACATATTACTTAAATAAAATAAACATTATTCATAACTTATTATGTTTTATTATTGTTGTATATTTTCATTTATTTGCTGCAGAGATTAATGTGGCCCACCATCCACTCTCAGACATGGCCTCTGGCCCCTATGTGGAAGAACTTGCCAACCCCTGCTTTACAGCATCATACTGATTTATAAAACAGACTTGCCAACTTCTAAAAGTAGTTAAATATGTCCTTAAATTCTTGCTGACTAACAGAATATATTAAAAAGAAATAAAAAGACAACTCTGTTTTTTGAATAAACCAAGCCAGTTCCTTACCTGTCTGATGTGTCACCCACCACCTTTCCTCCTGAACCATTTATGGAGTCTTGCCTTGTAAGCCCTTGAGATCTACTTCGTTCCAAGGTTGACTGTTCTTGCAGCTTTGCTTTTTTGTCCTGAGGTGCTTTTTCATTCTGCAGTCCTCTAAAAACCTCTTGATCAGACTTCTGTGGGGTGTTAGTTCCACTATTATAAAACCAAGCTCCAGATTTTGTGAGGATTTCTTGTTGCTTTCGGCATGAATTACACACCCACATTACCTACGTATAATATGCAGAAAATACTGATATCAGTTTTTTAAAAGAAAGCATGACAAGTGCACACTAAAAATGAGGATTAATAACAGATTAACTCTTTCAACATTAAAAATAATATTAAGTGACAATGTTTTAAATACAATTTTAACAGGAATTTTTTTAAAAGTTTAACAATTTGTTTAACCTTATTAATCAAATAAAGTCCGATGCCCACAAAGGTCCTTTTTTAATACAATAACATAAAAAACACATCTTATGGAGTTTAATCCTTGGTAAGTAATTAATTTTCTTAAGATTACAGTCTACACATCTTAGAAATAATTTTTCTATCAGTAATTTTGATGTTATACTGCCATAATTAAAACATACTGAATAGTTTTAGTTAACCATCAGATCTTAGGAGCCAAGCTGAAGTTATCCAGTGAAGCATTTTGTTTCCTGCAGTACCTCCAGAAAACCCAGGTTTGAAAAAAAATAAACATCTCCTGTTGTTGCTGCCCAGCAGTTAAAACACATATTATCTTTGATTGTGGAAATGAAATCATAAAATGTAATACACTAAAACATTCAAAATGTACATAATATTTTATTAATAACAGCATCACTTTAAGCAAGGGACTACTACATAAAAATTCCCAAACCCCAACCCTGAATCTGGTACGTATTATCAGCAGGCAGTTTTTATGGAAAATCATGAAAATGCCCATGGGTATGCCACTGATCTACTGATATATATTTTCTCCCAAATTAAATAATAGTAGATGAGTATGAAATGGCAAAAGCTTGGTAGTGAAATGTGTGGTAGCACCATAAGGAATAGTAGGATAGTTTTATCTTTGTTGATTCAGAGCCTAACAGCCAATGGTTATCCTGAAACTCCAGTCCTCAACATTTTCAAGGACTTTTAATTATACCACTGTGCCATTGTAATTTCATATCAGAAAAAAATGTTAGTTCACTCAAAAAAGATAGTCTTTTATCACTTCAAAAGCTAACAAAATCACAATTGGGTTCAGAATTATGTAGCTGACTTAATATCTCCATTTTCAGGAAGGATGACTGGCTTCTTCAGTATGAAAGCCAGTATTCCTGCAGGCTATCCCATCCAATTTTATAATACCAGTTCTTCCACATTACATATACTTCCAGTTAAATCCAGACTAAAGAATAATCCCAGAATTATTGTTTTCCTATTTTGATGTGTGTAATGTGGTATCTTTTTAATTGTTCTAACGACTGAAATTGTAAGTCACCTTCAGGGAAATACTTGTAAAATACATAAAACTACATAATAGCCAAAGAGAGGTGCTGTATTTAGTCTGTCCAGTATCATTCTTGGGTCCATTTCAGTTACCCTACCTCCTGGTACTGTGGCTTCCCATCAAGTGTTCTACCTTATTTCTGTAATAGAATAAAAGTTACACCAGAATCTTATGATGTTGGAAAGCATTTTAGACATTTTCTGTAAAAGTTCTATCTAAAATGTTCAAGGGCAGAGGCATCAAAAACCTTAGAAAACTTTATCTAACCATTAAAAAACACCTTAAAATGGAAAAACAAGGAGAAAATTGGAGAATAGGCTCTTTTAATTGCTAAATCAAGTGTCTCATAAACCATAACATGCCAAGGCCTCTAAATAATCCTTTGGGTGGATCATAGAAATAAGCAATAGAAGCAGCGGGTAGATAAAGTAGGAAGGAAGGCCAAGAGCTCTCTCATCAGGAAAAGAAAAGTAGCCTCAGGCTTCATTCTCTGCAGATCAGCATCACTTTCAGCTGAGAGTAAAGTTGCAGGGACAAAATCAGTTATTACTACTTGACAGGATCTATTTACAAAATAAAGGAGTAAAAAAGGAAAGAATAAAGAGAATAAACAAACAACTCTTCCAGCTGTTCTGTTCTCCAAAGTACGTATTGGAAGGAGGAAGGAAGAAGACAATGTGGCACCATCTGCTGGCTGAGTTGCCACTGTGAATGGATGATTGATTCTTCCTCTTGGGTGAGAGCCAGAGGAGGAATTGATGGTGGGTGATGGAAGGGAGCCCTTTATCAGCTGGTGGGAGCAGAAGATGAGGGTTCCTGTGACTATGTGTATGAATGTGATGTAGTAGTGTGTGTGAGTGTGTTATAGTGAATGGGGAGGTGATAGCTGGGTATCCTGATGGGGCTGAGAGCTAGTGAAGCTAAAGTGCCTCAGGGTGCCTGGCTTCCTGTCCCAGGGATGATTGAAGAGGACATTGAGAGGTCCCCAGTCTTGGGTCTTGGGGGGCTGAGGTTTGGGGATGGGGCTGTCATTGGGGGAGTGGAGGCAGGCCATAGGATTACAGTGGTGACAGGTATGGGGAGATATGGTGGGAGAGAGTTAGTGGGCCACTCTTGGGGAATCCGAGACCTTTGTCTTATATCAGTTTTGTGTTCCAGCTCCTTGGTCTGAGCCCCAATACCCTGTCAGCAGACCTTCATGGCCCTGGCTTTCGGCTGCTGCTTCTAAATGCCAGGTCGATCTGTAATAAGGCCTCCCTCATTGATGACAGCGCTGACCTGGCATGTATTACCGAGACCTGGCTGAGTCCAGAAGGAGGGTAGCCCTTTCAGAGATATGCCAGCTGGGTTTTGGATGTGGCAATAGCCGAGACTCCAGGGCGGGGGGGGTGTGATGATTGTCATCCTTACTGTAATGGAAGGCATGCGCGAGGAGGATACTGGAATGGAAGATCAAGGCTATCAGGAGGGAGGGAGTGCATTCCAGGAGAGAGGATACTGGAATGGAAGATCAAGGCTATCAGGAGGGAGGGAGTGCATTCCAGGAGAGAGGATACTGGAATGGAAGATCAAGGCTATCAGGAGGGAGGGAGTGCATTCCAGGAGAGGGCACAAGGCAAGCGCTTTCTCAGCCCGCAACAAGACCGTGAGAAGACGAAGAGGCTTAGGCTAGCCCCTCCCTAGAGTCTCACGGGGTATATCCACTAGTTGCTTCAGCATAGATTTAGTCTGGCGAGATTGTCTTTAGGGTGTAAGCAAATAAAGGAACTATACTGGACTGCACTGTCTCATCATTGTTCTTGGGCTGGGCCTGACATCAATCTCGTCAGACTAAATCTATGCTGAAGCAACTAGTGGATATATCCCGTGAGACTCTAGGGAGGGGCTAGCCTAAGCCTTTTCTTCTCACAGTCTTGTTGCAGGCTGAGAAAGTGCTTGCCTTGTGCCCTCTCCTGGAATGCACTCCCCCCTTCCTGATAGCCTTGATCTTCCATTCTAGTATCCTCCTCACACATGCCTTCCATTACACTTACGACTTTCAGGTGCGCTGCACCACAGGTCACAGGATGAGACCCTGTTCATTAAGTTGAGCTGTAGGGATCACTTGGGATTGTTGCTGTTATACCAGCCTTCCTGCTACATAGCAACCTCCTTGCCTGAGCTCCTTGACTCCATTTCTGGGTTAGTAGTGGAGTTCCCCAGACTTATGGGGGACTTCAACCTGCCTTCTCTAGGAGTGGGATCTGAGGTGGCTTGGGCGTTCATGGCCACCATGATGGCCATGGGCCTGTCCCAAATCATCCAGAGCCCAATACGGGACAGTGGTCACACACCAGATTTGGTGTTCCTATCAAACCAGTGACCATGTGATCTGAAATTGGGAGGGTTCTTGTAATGTAGCCTTGTCATGGTCAGATCATGCCCTGATTTCCATGGGATTCTCTAGTGCCACTATCCACTGCAGGGAGGCTGGACCCATTAGATCAGTCCACCACTGGCAACTGATGGACCCAGATGGCTTTCAGAGGGCGCTGGGGGCTGTTCCTGTTGGTCTGCTGCACAGTCCATCCAAAGCCTTGGTCACTTCTTGGAATAAGGGAGCAGCTGAGTTGTTGGATCAGATCGTGCCAGTGCAACCCCTCCTGTCTTGGGGATCCCATCACTCCCCATGGTTCATGGAGGAGTTGAGGAAGATGAAATGAGAGAAGAGACATCTAGAGCATCACTGGTGCTCAACAAAGGATGAACGTGACTGAACATAGGTTAGAGCCACTATTAAGTCCTAGCTTGTGGTGGTAAAGGCAGCAAAGTGTCAGTACTTCTCTGCCCTTATTGTGTCCGCAGATAGCCACCCCACAGCTCTGTTTCAGGTGACACAAGCCCTCTTGGGTAAAGGGGGCTCGGGGAACCTCTTGCAGAGGTGTGCGGAGGAATTTGTTCAGCATCTCTCAGACAAAGTTGTTCGGATTCATTCACAGTTGGACACTGGCCTTGTTGCGGGTCCAAAGGAGATGCCTGGGGAGGAGTCTTGCCTGGTTATCTGGGAACAGTTTGAACCTGTTGGACCTGAGGAAGTGAACAGGGTCCTTAGGACTGTGAGCTCAGCCATCTGTTCTTTAGATCCATGCCCCTCCTGGCTTGTTAAAGCGGCCCGGGGGGTGTTGTCTGAATGGGTTCTAGCAATGGTTAATTCTTCTTTGAGTGATGGGGTTGTTCCTTTACCTCTTAAAGAGGCTTTGGTTTGCCCCCTTCTCAAGAAGCCATTGCTGGACCCTACCACAGATGCAATGGTATTGTAATGGTATGTGGGAATGACCTTGAGAGGGGAAGAGATGCTGCCTAGCGAATGATCAGATAAAAGGGGGAGGGGTCTGCAGCTGAGTAACAGGCACCGAAAGAAAGTTAGAAAGGATCCACCCTAATTTATCAAGCTGTAAAAAGAGATGGCAGGAGATTTGTACTTTCAGACTTGCAAGATTCTGTTAATGTAGCCTTGTAATAAAGTAGAATTAGCTCATCTTTTCGGGTTTCCTGTCTGGTCTACCTTCTGTTTTGGGTGAAGGTGGTTGAGAAGGTGGTTGCACAACAGTTTCAGAGGACCTTGGATGAAGCAGATTATCTGGCTCCTTTTCAGTCAGGATTCAGACCTGGGTGCAGGATGGAAACAGCATTCGTCGCACTTTTGGATGATCTCTGGCGTGGGTGGGATGGGGGTTGTGCATCCATCCTTGCCCTACT